TCTAAAGCTTGCTAGTGCTGTCATAAACGCAGGAAGAACTAGAATCAGTAAAAAACATCTGCAAACAATTTTATTCTTAAATGTTAATTCATTTTTAAATGAAATGAGATTTTCAAACATTTTTGCATATAAACCGTATATATTTTATTTAATCACACTAGTTTATTATCACGTTTTTGTGTTCTTCAAGCAGATGCTTCTGACCCATGTTTTGTTTTTGATTTTAGAATATGTTATTTTAAGTTTTCCAATGTTAAGAATTATGATTTTAATAAAAGAAATCATTATATATGATGACTATTTCTACTATCATCATTCTGCATTTTTAATGAAAATTTTTAAAAGTAACATGTTCCTTTTGGAACCTTATTTTGAAACCTATTATCAAGATTAAACTGGAACGTTGGAACCCGTTCCAGAAAAATAACCGTTTATCACATCTCTGCCCCGGTCCCACTTTGTTTATGAACGATTATATAGCCGCTCCTTCCCCCACACAAGAACGCGGGTCTTTCCTTGTGATAGGATTTGTGCTGGAATCAGGCCAGGCGATTGAAACGATTGCCGATTTAATAAAGTAAGAATTTTTTGTAAACACTCGAAAATTTAGTGTTTTAAACAACCAAAACAGAAATATCGGTAATTTTTATCATTTGGGCGAACGAAAAATAGGCAAAAAGTTTGGAGGCGCCGGGCATCGATCCCGGTACCTCTCGCATGCTAAGCGAGCGCTCTACCATCTGAGCTACGCCCCCGATGGGGAAATATTTCCAAAAACTTCATTAGTCACACAACTGCAGCTACTGCTTTAGTTACATTCGAAAAATATATATTTACGACAAAAATTCCGCATCGTTGTATACGTAAATATAGGGGTGCCTTTCCACTAGCACGATATCCTTCTCCAACTGGCGCAGGTCGGCTTCAAGCTTGGATTTTTTCACTTTTTTCGGAATGGTGTCAGTCAATATCGGCAAGCCCTGGTACTGTTTCTGCAGCTCCTCCCAGTTCTTCTTTAGGCCCTAAAAGCGCGCATTTAAACCGTACGTTTTTCAGCTAAACAGAGAGCGCTCACCTGAAGTAGTTGCTCTCGTTCGTCGCGCGTTATGTAGTGGCACTTTGGCTGCTGCTTGCCCGATAAATCCTTGCGCATTTGGTACTCCTTTTCCTTAATTTTGTTGAACCTGCAAGGGGCAAGTGAGCAGGCAACCGATGACACCCTGGGGGGCATTCACCTGACTAGATATTTGGGGGTTTTGCCGAATATGGGCTTTTTGATGTAAACAGGCTCCAGGCCTTGGGCTTCCGGTTCCATCGTGGTGCCCATTCGGTCAACCACGATCTTATGCAGAGGCTCTTTAGGCTTCATCTGGCGCACGTTCTGCACGTTGTCCCTGACAAAGTCCTTGTGCGACTCCATTTGATTTGAGTGCTAAAAACCACAGTCACTTTGAAAGTCTGGATGCTTACTATATTAATATCTGGACTACTTGCCAACTTGGCAGCTTCCAGCAAGTCCTTTAGCAGGGGCGTTTGTGCCTTATGAAGCACCTTCACTCTGCGTTGTTTGCCCGGAATTTTCACAGTATAACTCGGCTTTCCTGTGCGTTTCTTTAAGAAATTGCGCGCATCCGGTGGCTCCTGCTCCGGCAGCCCCATGGTGGCATGAAGGCCGCAGAATTTGTCGCCCAAGTGGGACCCGGAGTCGTTTTTCAGGGCAGACTTGCCTCCAGAATCGCGAAACTTGCTAACGTACTTTGGGGACTTTTTCTGCAGCTCCGACTGCGTCTTGGTTATATCGTAAATGTTTTCGTCGTGATGTGTTATGAAAATTAGCGACATTTTCAGGAGACGATATAGAGTGTCAGTCTGTCAGGAGGGAGGGCTGGTATTGATCAAACAAACATAATTGCTCGGTGACAACACTATTGGGAAAATGAGCGCCCCGTTTGGATGGGATGGCCGAAGGTCGAGTTCAACTGCCCCAAAACCAGAGATTGATGCGCCGTTTAATAATGAATAAAAAAAAAACAGCAAACCACCAGTACTTATTTACTCGGCAAATATTTTGATCCACGTCTCCTCCTCCTCCCCATTCTCGTTGGCTATTCGCACTTTCACCAATTGAATGGGGCCGTCGGGAGTCTGAAGGATCTGCGTCTCGTTGGTGGCCAGCGCTTCAGTCGACAGTATTTCCTCATAAATCCCATCTTCTGTGCCCACATCCTGAAAACATTCCGCAGTTAAACATGAGAAATCGACTCGAAAACAAAACTAACCTGCTCTATCCCTTGAGAAGTTCCTTCGTTCTCCGAACAGTCTTCAGCAAACGTCACCTTTCGCTCGTTGATGACAATATCGTGCTCATTACTGTCGTCCCCTGCAAATCAACCAATTAGCTTACGCTCCCCTGGAAAGAATTTCTGAAGCTCACCATCTTCCCCGATGAATATTTTGGTCTCGGTGACTTCCTCTTCTTCTTCTACAGTCACCAAATGGCTTTCGGCGTCCATGCTGATATCCGCATCTATTTACGAAAATGTAAGTAAAAGGAAATCACGCCGCAAACCTACAACCTACCCAAAGTCAACCTGGGCTGGTTCACAACAATTGTATCGTTCAAATGGCCAAAGGCTTTCATGTGCTGGAACAACAGGGGCTTCCGCATAAACCCGACGCCGCAATCCAGGCACTCGTACGGTTTCTTGTCCGAGTGCACAAAGCGATGTGCGTTTCTATTATCGCGCGAGTTGAACGCTTTACCGCATACCTAAAAACCCGCTAATTAAATTCCCTTAGGACTTTGGTCTTCTATCAACTGACCTCGCACATATAGGGCTTTTCCCCGGTGTGAATGCGCCGGTGCTTCTTGAAATGCTCCGGATAAACGAAGGTGGCCTCGCAAATGTCGCACTTATACGGCCGTTCCCCGGTATGGGCCGCCTTAAGATGATAATCCAACAGGCGACGACGTTTAAAACACTTGCCGCAGTCCTGAGAAGGCACAGAGTGAACAACAGGGCGACGTGCATGATAGTAAATCGCTGACTTACCTCACATTTGTATCGTTTGTCGTCGTAGTGCGTGGCCCGCTTATGGGATTGCAAATTCGATCTGAATTCAATAAAGAAGCATTAAACATAATGGGTACTAAGATTGGTTGCCACTACCTTTGAGTGAATGTTGCGCCGCAAAACTCGCATTGAAAAGGCCGCTCTCCTGTATGAGTTCGCTCATGGTCTCGAATCTCTGCCTTTCTGGCAAAACCTTTGCCGCATAAGCCGCAAATATAAGGCTTGTACCCCGTATGGACTATGGAATGCACCTGAAAAAAGTATAATTCAACCATCTAAGTAAGGGAAAAACCAGTAGACAATAGAAATTCAGACTCACCTCGAGGTTGTGAGACGATCCGAACTGTTTGTTGCAAAGATGACACTGATAGTCCTTGATTCCAGTGTGCGTTTTCTCGTGCTGTGTCAAGTTATGCTGGTTAAGAAAGGTTTTGTCGCAACGATCGCACCTAAACAATTAAAAAAAAAAGTTGAGATGGACAAGCGCTTTTTTGGAGACTTGTCGACAAAATCTCACTTACTTGAAAGGTCTCGGGCGCATTTCATGTGTCTTCTCGTGCGCTTTAAAAGTGTACTTGCTGGCAAAATCTTTGCCGCACGTGCTGCATACGTGGGGCCGCACACCCAAATGAACGTTTAGGTGCTCTTCCAGCAGATTTTTGCTGCTGTACTTTTTGCCGCAGTCCTGACACGCCCAAGCCTTTGCTTGTGGCAAGTGCATCCTGAAACCAATGCAATTAGAACGCTTGCACAACAAGTACACTCAGCTCACCTCCTATGGATCCTGAACAGGCGCAAATTGTTGAAAATCCTATGACAAACTTCGCATTGAAAGTCGCCTTCTTCAGTGGCGACATGCTCGTCTACATGTGCCGAAAGGAAGTTCCTTCGCCTAAAGTCTTGCCCGCAGATGTCGCAAATATATAGACGGGCCGCGTGCGCCTGTCTCATGTGCAAAATGATCGCTTTGGCTTCGCCAGCAACCTAAAACAAATCGCCAATCAGCCAAGCGCTCGGTGATTCCAGCCAATCAAAACTCACAGTTTCGTTGCCCGTACACATCAAGCAGGTGTACAGATTGTTTTCCCTTGTTACAATGGGTGCGTTTAAGTTGTCGTCGAACTTCTTCCCTCGGTCCAGCGGCTGTTGGATGATGATGTTATCCGAGTAGCAGATCGAGTTTTGCTGCGGCTTGCGCTTCAAAATGTTGGGCTTGGTGGAGCTGTTTGCGGAGGAATCATTAGAAGAAGGCTCCTCCTTCGAATGAGGTTCCAGTTTCACTTTCCCTATTTCAACATCGTCAGCTGTATAGGAATATTTGAATTAGATTTGTTAACTGGTTTCCTTGCTCACATACTAGGCAGGGCTTGCATGTCTTCAGAGTCTGAATTGGGGAACGAGGGGAAGGTCTGATCGCCATCCATGTCCATATCAGCGACTTCTTCATTGCCCTGCACTTGGACCAGCACCATTTCGATCTCGTCTAGGGACTGAAGAGGTTTCTGATCACCTGGCTAAGGACAGTAAATCCGCTGGATGAATGGGCATTCATTCCACACCCGTGTTAGGCTCACCTGGCTGTCGTCATCGTCACTAGATGGAATATCCAGAATCTTCTCAGGCAGCTCATTGCCCTTTAGGGCCACTTTTCCCCTGGACGGCAACTGCTGCTGGTGCTTCGAGCTAGCTTGTACAGGCTCCTCCGGTTGTTGCCGCTTCTCCAAAGTGTTCTGGTAGTTTTCAACGATTTCATTTTTGATCTCACTCAGTCTACTCACGACTTCATCGTATTCGTCTAGTAATTTGTAGCATTTCTTGCACAGGAACTGTGAATGAATCGACTCGTCCGTTATTTCTGTTTCAAGAAGGTTTCCCAGGACTTCAGGCACGTTTAGATCATTCGAAACGCCATTCTAAAGCAAATAAAAAGGTGAGCAATTCTAGTGGCAACAATAAAAAGAGCTTGGCACCCACTTCATTGAAGATATGGATCGAGTTCCTGATGGAAACACAGCTGGCGTTGCAAATGAGGCACACGTTAGGTCCGGACATCTGCAGCAAAGAAAATTATTTGAAGCTTACAATTCCTAATTATGAACAAAGGGCTGACCTCCCGATGGTTTAAAAAACCGTGCGGCACTGGGTTATTTGAAGCATCGCCTCGAGGTAGCGCAGCCCTCAGGCCCTTGATAGCGGACTGGGGCTTCAGCTAATAGAGCCCCATAAATTGAGACAAAAATTAAACTCCGAAGTTATAGGCATTGCCACATCCGCCAATGAGGCGTCCATTACATAAACGGCTGTTATTGTTGTTTGCGCCCGATACACAGCCGAAATACGCTCAGCGAAAACTGTACGAAAAATACAGGAATTACCTTTTAAATGTCGCCAAAATGCTTTAGGAACATTTATTTTGAACGATTCATCAGTGCTCCCAACACGCCTTCACAACTGCTGCCACAATCATAGATAAAGACAAGCCACAATGACTGACAATTGCAGGTTATGGCGGCACGCCCTGTTCGTCGATTGATGCTGCAACGTGATCGATTCAGGTTTTGCGGGTCTTTGATAGGCTTCGCATTGACTCTAGATTCGAAAGAGTCACAAACGTATCAGAAAATGCGCACTTGCGACATGTTGGAAACCCAAAATGGCGCTTTGACAAAGCAAATTAGCAAAAACAGTCCCCCCAATCAGTTCGGGGTTTAAACCGCAAATTGAATCAGCCAACAAAAAATCACATCACTAGGGTGAATTTTGGATGAATCAGTTATATTTTGGCAACCGTTCTTAAAATGCACCTGCTCCGGCAGAGTTGCCAACTTTCCATGGGTTAAAACAGGGTTGTTAGAATTCATAAAAATATTAAAACTTAATTTTGGTAAAAAAATAACTTTTCGTGAAAAGAAAATTTATTAAACATTTACCGCAATAGTTGCCCAAGATGCCAACTAACTAGGACAGTTTTAAAATTCGATTCATTTCATACAAAAAAAAATATAAAATTAAATAAAACAAAATCAACCGATTGGCTTCAAACGGCAGGAATTGTTGTGCAACCGACGGCGGTATTTATTTGGCTGCCCCACTAATGCTCACTTGCCAATTCGCCCATTTGATCCCAAATCAAAAGGAAATTACCGTATAAAACAATCCCTTTACGACGCTGGAAAAACGGCTGCTATGGTTCAACCTTTACATATCTTCGGTGCTCCATTTGTAGCTTTCCTCTATACTGGCGGTTCGGGAGTTCTGAACTTGGAACCATTCCTTTTCATAGCCATTGGAGCGGTTCACCCCATCCCACCGATAGCCTGGTCTAATCCCGAAGCGATTGGGGGGCGCATCCCCGTGGTACTCTTGGAGCACTGAAAATTCTGCCTATTAAACTGCCCGAAAACACACGAATCTTTGAGCTTACCAGGCTTTCCTTCGTCTATTGCCTTGGATTTCTTTTTCTGTCTTATATAGGCTAGCATGGGGTCGCCGTCCCTTTCTTGGTCTTTCAGGTACTTTTCCAGATCCTGATCGTCGGCATATCTAAAACACCTTTAAGTAAAGGAAGTTGGAATCAGTTCAATTCGACTCACCTGGCTAGGGGCTTGCTCATTTCATAAAGCTCGTTTTGGAGCTTCTGGTTGGCGTCTTCTACTTGCTTCACGCCTTTGCCCCATCGGTCGTACTGCTCCTTTTTCGCTGCCTGCTTCAGCCTTTTCTTCTCTTCCTCCTCCCAGTTCACTTCCTTCTTCTTGCCCCTGACTACAGTGGCGGCATTCGCCCCCGATACTTCAGAGCTCATTTTCTGAAACAGCGCATCTTCCCGTCTCTTCAGCTCCTGGGTTTCCAAAACTAGATCAGCGGCGTTTTGCAAGCCGGCAGTTTTCCCATCCAACGTCTTTTGCAGTTTTTCTCCGCGTTCCTCCTCATCTGCCCATCTCGATTTCTTCACCCTCTCCTCCCGGTGTTTCCTCCTTCGCGGCGGCGAATTGTCTCTACTGTTTTCCCTTTTGACTTTCCTTGGAGGAGACGAATCACTACCTCTAGTGCTCTTGCGTGCAGGGACTCTGGAATGTCTTGGGGGTGAATTGTCCTCACTGCTGCCTCTTCTCATTCTCCGCCTCGGGGGGGAAATGTCCGGACTTCCACCCCGTCTCCTGGGTGGTGAAGAGTCATGAAAATCTTCCTGCGGCCTTGGAGGAGTGTCGTTCCTTTCCACCTTAATCCTCCTTGGAGGAGAACTATCAGAGTCTAGTTGCTGCACTCTTGGAGGTGAAATATCCTCACTTTCCTCCCGCTTAATTTGCCCTGCGGGCAACACATCGTTTTCTTCCCTACTACTACTACTGTGAGTGATATGGTTGCCCCCAGCAGACTTTCTTTTCTCTAGCTTTAAGCTGCCTTCGAACTTCAAGGCTTTGTCCACATCGGGGATAATTTGAGGAGCCCCCAGGGGCTTCCACAGCTTTGCCTTCGACACTTCATCGATTCTCAGAGACGGGGGCCTGTCATCAATGACCGAAACAATTTGGGGGGCGTCTTCGTTCTCCCCTTCCAGGTCCTGCTTGATCTCCTCGTTAAGCATGAACTCCACCTCGTCATCGTCAACAACCTTAAACCTGTAAATACTGTGGTGAAACCCGCTGACCTAAAGGCAGGTCTAGAGCTCGCTTACCTGCTTGGGGGTTTTTTAGCCTTTTTCTTCGATTTCTTCTCCTTGGAGCGTTTTCCGATTCCCAGATACTTCTTCAAGTATTCCTTCTGGTCGATTCCGCTCATTTCGACCGCAAAATTACTAAAATATTAAAAAAATTATTTGCAAACATTGGGGTTAAATCCGCGGTTCCTGTCATCTGTGATGGATAAAGACAAGTGGTTCCTGGGGCATTGCCACCGTGCAAAAACTAAAAAAAAATAGTAACTTTTCAGCAAACCTGCCTCGCTATTTGATTACCTATTCGGTTGGCCAATGGAAAAGTTAATTAATTTTTTGAATTTAAGGCTGCTTGTTGAAGCAATCCGATATAAACAATCGCATCCAGTGATGTGAAACCCGGCAGCGTTGCCTGATTTGGTTTTTATCTCTACGAGATGGCGCTGCGTCGAATCAGCTGCGTTTGTTTTGTTGATGTTGACCAGATGTGTTAACCTCACTAATTCATTTTGAATCGCGCCGATTTTTCTGGAAAATAATGTAAACCCCCACGATCCCCGCAACCAAAAACCTTTCCAGAATGGAGGAGCAAAGTAGGTTGAATGGGCATCTCTAAAACGCCCCAATGGCTTTGAAATTCCCTTAGGGCTGCTCAAGAAGAAATCGAAGGCTGCAAACAACAGGGCTGCGCTGGTGTCTGCTTGCACCGATTTGGCCGCTTACTACTCTTCCGTCGGCCAATTTACCAAAGCTATCAATGAATATGAAGTCCTGCTGAAGATCTACAAGCAGGAGAAGCAGATGCTGTTGTTCGCCCAGGTCCACCGCGGTCTGGGCGAAGCGTACATGGGCCTGCACGAGTTTAAGAAGACTTTACAATGCTTCAAGACTTACCATAGTGAGTGGGCTGGTTTCCAGGCCGCAGCCCAACCACTAAACGGGTTTTTTAGGCGTTTCAGAGCAGGAGGGCAACCTTCTGGAGCAGCAAAGGGCTTTGGCCCAATTGGGCCATTTGTACCTGACGTGGTACTTGGAGACTATCAGCGAATCTAACCGGGAGCTCTTGGACCAGGCCTTTGGGTATTTGATGAGAAGCATGAAGAAATGCGAAAAGTAACTGAAGGAGGGTTTGGATGCAGAATTTTCAATTCTCAATTCAATTGATGGATTTCAGCTTGAGCGATAGCATGGAAAAGCAGGATATAATCGCCCGGTTGTTCTCCAACTTGGGGCTAGTGAAGGAGAATTTGGGGGAGCTTGAAACCGCCTATCACTTGTATGAAAAGAGCATCAAAATCTGCGTAGCTCACGATTTGTACGAGCAGCTTTACCGGGGCTACCTGTCCAAGGCGTCCTTACTGGAGAAGCAGAAGAAGTATCAAGAGACTATAAAGAACTACAATCTGGCCATTGAGGCGGCAAGTTCGTAGGCGCAATTCGTTATTTAGCCAGTAATTGCAGGAAGTTCCTTGCAGAAAAGCTGAGCACTGACAGAGTGGAGCTGATCTGCGCGGCGCTGCTTTCCAAGTCGGAGACGCTGATTAAAATCGCCGACTTCCAAGGTGCCAAACAGGTGCTGCGCAAGGCCTACAAGTTCAAGAGCCCCAACAAGCAGGAGCGCAAAATCATCGAGCGAAACCTCCGAGTGGGTATGTTGTCTTTAGGCGTATACATTCTGAAGTAAAACCTGGTTGGCTGCAGTGGCCGGAATGTGCAAAGTGGAGGACTCTATCATAACATGCTCCGAGCAACCGCAGCTGAAGGGTCTCTATGAGAAAATGGGCGATGGAGCGTGCGATCTCAAGATATTCTCCAAAGCCATTGAGTACTACAAAAAAATGCTGGAAGCTGCTGAGAAGAGCGGCGCCAGCGATAAGGAGCTAGGCGAGTGCTACTTCAGCCTTGGTGGGTTAAAGTACGAGATTATGATTAATTCCTGCTAATGCAGGCATTGATCTGTTCCAGCCAAGACCTACAAGGACAACGGGAACTATGAGGAAGCTGAGTGTTACTTCGAGAAGGAGTACAACATCTGCAAAACTAGTCTAAAGGACAGCTTGAACACGCTCTGCGAGCTCGCTGACTTGAAAGAGCTTGCTAATCAGAGCGCGGATTGCGTCAAGCGAGTCTACGAGAGGGCCCTGTTAAGTTGCCGCAAAAAGCACAGTCTATTGGAGGAAAGGAGGATCCTTATTAGGTATAGAGGCTTTCTGGAGCGCTCCCGATGCAGTTTCGAGGCCTCCAAAGTGACGATGCAGCTGGAAGCTTTGCAGTCCAAACTCGGGGACTTGGAAGAAGAAAGCTCGTCTTCCGAATGTGAAAGCGATGATTCCGCCAAAGTGCACATCGGAGACGACATTGTCCTCAGCGAGATCACCGGTAAGAACGGCCTAATGGGGCTAAAGCGTTTAATGGAATGGATTTTGTAGATGTGTCCGAGGAGTCGGACAACGAGGTGCCTGAAACCAATGCTACGCAATCTTCCAAACGTCGACGTCCAAACACGGTGAAATTCAAGAAAAATTTGAACGGCGAGTGGCCTTTGCATGTGGCTTGCATCAAGGGCAACTGTAAAATGGTTGGAAATAGGCGCAACCCAATAAAAACTTGCCTGTATCAGCACTATTCCAGGTCCAATACTGGCTGGATGTGGACCATCCGGTAAATGTCCGCGACAACGCCGGATGGCTGCCACTGCATGAGGCCGCCGTTCATGGACACATCGAAATAGTGCGCCTCCTTTTGGATCACAAAGCGTCGATAAACGACCGCGGCGGCTCTGAATGCAACGGTATTGGCCAGTTGCGCTCTTTGCAAGTGCCCTAAATCGCCATTTTCCAGGTATCACCCCTTTGCACGACGCTGCTAGCAATGGGCACTTGGAGATCATCGAGCTGCTGTTGAATAAGGGGGCGTCCGCTCTAGCGAAGACCGATGATGGCAATACGCCCCTATTCGAGCTACGCAAATGGTAGTTTTGTAACGTCCCATTAAGGGTTAAGCGTCTAAAAAGGGGGGACTCCTTTTGAAGGTTCCAGAGAAACGGCGAGGATTTGTCCAGTGAGCGCCTTAGTTTCTACCACTCCGTAGCTGGGCGGCTGGAAGCCGCCCTTGAAAAATCTGGACAAAAGGACACGGGGATTCTCAGCCCCAATCACAGCAAGGAAATCCATCAAAGTGCTAGTAAAGTTGGCAGACTAAGGAGGGCGATGCCCATGGGTGATTGTCTAGAAGACGAAGAAGAAGATGGTGGGGCTGGATTTAAAGCAAAATGTACTGGGCTAATGGGGATTTTTCAGACTTCCCGGCCTCCAACGAGTACCAAGAGGTGATGCAAACGATGCGGCGCAAAACGTTCTCACCCCAAATCAGCCCGGTGGCCTCAAAACGGTCCGCGCTGGTCAATGAGGAGGACTTTGTGGAGCCGGAAAACTGGCTGGAGGAGGACGTGCGGCGGGCGAAGCCCAAAAGACGAAGAACCAGTGAATTTGGCGTCAGAAGCCGCTCCTTTGGCGAAGCCAACAAGTCGCCAATTGAAGCCGACTTTCTTGCGGCTGGCAATGACGATTCTTTAGACGCGATCTCGATCGGCAGTGCCGATAGTCGCTCATCATCCCGCCGAAGACAAGCCACTTTACTGGAGGCAGGATTCAGCAAGGAGCGGTACCTACCACTTGATTTTCCAGGTGTAACTTAGGTGAAAATATAACTATTTCAGACCATCACCGAACCACCCGCAGCAAAATCAGTTGGAGGCCGAAAGGCCGTCCACGCCCTTTCAACATCAGGAATGCTCGCAACCAGCAGGAGACCCGATGCTGTTTGCTGACGTGGACATTGAGGGCAAAGTCTTCAGAGTGCCCGTTCGCATGTCGCAGCTGCAGAGCAAAACCATCAAATGGCTGGCAGCGGAGGCCGCCCTTCGATACGAAAGGTGCGTATTATTTTCGCACATAACTGTTGTAAAGGCGGCGGAATTTTAGTAAGGAATTCATGAAGCCCGTGCTGGAGCTAGAGACTGTGGACGGGGTGATTTTGGTTGAAAACGACTTGTTGAGCCTGCTCTTTCCCATGGGGCGCGTGCAGGCCGAACGCGTTGTTGGAAAGGTGACCGAATGGAGTCTGGCGTCAGTTTTGGAGCGCTATAAGGAAACGTGCGCCAATATGGGCGTCGGTGAGTTTTTCCAGGTTTTTTTTTCGGTGAGGTTTGGGAAATGCTCTTTTATGCACTCCCAGAGCTGGTGGTCTGTCGCTCTGGCTTGTGTGGGACTCCGGCTAAGCTGTTTATCTACTAAAACCCTTTCCTCACCGCCGAGGTGGTGTTTGGCCTTGCACCGCGGTCATTTCTGTCCTATTGTGCCCTCGTAATTTTACTCCCTCATTAT